ATCTTAGCAACTTTAAGATATGTGGACTTCAACTCCAAGAATCCCCCAGCCAGCAGGGCGGGCTGGGGAATTCTGGGAGTTGAAGTCCACATATCTTAAAGTTGCTAAGATTGAGAAACACTGGTCTAGACCATAAGCCCCTTAGAGCAGAGATGAGCCCTTTTTGTTATTTGGGGAGGAGGGGGATAAGGCATCAACTATAGCACCCTAAAACCCTGCCCGGAATCCTATAGAAGGTGCCAGTGTTCCATGGAAAATACACTCAAGCCAAAAAGATCTTGTCGAAGGTTCAAAAGAGAAGATACTGTGCAACAGGAAAACTTGCATTTTTTGTCTCAGCCACTTACCGGATTGAGGGCATACAGTATATCAGACACTGGGGATTTTAGGACCCGATCCACCACATCACAGACGAGATCCTCCAAACGGTTCAGCAGGTCTTCGTAGGACATGAAAGGGCATTCAGCTTCAATGTGGGTATATCTGGAAAAAGAAATCAGTGTCTTCACAAGAAAGACAAGGAATTACCATGCAATTCTTCGCCCCCTCCAGGCATGACCAGAGCACTTTTTCATTGAATGCACCTTTGCAGATATATCTGGAGAAACTGTTATTCTCAATATACCCAATTTTTGACTGGACGCACACACATTAGTTAACCGTTTTCTGTAGAGTGGCAGACTGAAAGGGTGGGGGAAGAAGGATGTCTATCTAAGCCTCTCCCAGCAACATAATTCCTCTTCTGATACGATCTTGTGACTGTCAAATTAATTTCATTTCATTTCATTTCATTTCATTTCATTTCATTTCATTTCCAACTTGTGTTGCTTTATTTCCATCCCCTGCACCATTTCAAATGCTTTCTGCGAGCAAAAACCCTTTAGCCTGCTGCGTAGAGAAAGGGAAGGAAAGACACGCACAGACACACAGTCAGGAAGAAAATAAGGAGGTCAAATTGGTCCTTTTGCTGTAGAGAAAGAGCCCAGGGAAGATTAGGAGAAAAACAGGATGAACCTAGTAGGAGTAACCATGAAGAGATGGGAGACTTGGAAAAGAAGGAAAGAGAGCCATCTTGTTTTGAACTAAGTAGCCAGGTTTCTGACAACAGGCTTGCTTGCCGTCATGCAGTCATCTACAGAAAACGGGGAAGTCTGGTTTATGCTCTTGGGAAATAGGCCCCTTACTCAGAGAGGTGCCTGCGTGTCCTTGACTGTTCAGCTCGGTAGGACTGGGCAATGCAGAAGGTGTCTCCCAAGGCTGGGATGCAAGTCTCCAGGTACAGCTGGGATGACTGGGTCAGATAAGCTTCCTCGCCAAAATAATCCATTTTGAAGAGAGTTGATCCTCCTTCTACCTGGGTTTGAACCAGTGTTGGTGGGGTGATCTAAAAGATAAAAGAAGGCATTGAACAGAACATTTAATTTATTCCTAGGAATTCCATTTTGTACAGAGTTCACATAGGGAAAGCTGTACTTGTTGGGGACTTTGCCAACAGAAAAAGACATCTACCTTAGCAAAAAGCCAAAACTCTCTTAAAAGGTGGAGGCAGGAGGAAAGAAAAAAAAATTCTCTGTTGTCAGAAAAACTAACAAAAATAATGTGGCATAAACTTTTGTAGAGAGAGATTCTCCCTCTTTGAAGCCATAAAATATAGCATAAAATTACAAGTCACATTACATCTGCAACCAAAATTCTCCTGATGGTTCACAGGGATTAAACAAAATAAAGTTGAGCTCATATTTAAACTATGTGGAGTATGATCTAAAATTAAAAAGCATTATAACGGAGGACAGGATAGGAAAACTTTGCAGCACCAGATCAATAAAAAACAAACACAATCTCCTAAGTTGCAAAATATATTTGGATGGTATGCAGGGGCAAAACTTACATTTGTACAGCTAAAATGCAAGAAAATTTTCATTTTTTTCTACACTGAAGAGAAACAAGGGCTAGAATGAGACTGGTGAAACCAGCAATTACAGGTAGTCCCTGGGTTAAGAATACCTAATTTACAGATGACCCATAGTTAAGAATGGAGCCTACTTTAGCAACATTCAAGTTAAATACACAATGATTTGAGTTAAATACACAATGGTTCAAGTTCATTGCACAATAATACTTACACAGTATTATACAGTAATACTGTTCCGACTTACATACAAATTTGACTTAAGGACAGACTTTGGGAACAGAAATCGTTCTAAATCCTGTATCTATGATCAATGAACAAAGGCCAGAAGAAACACCTCACTCTCTTCTGTTTTGCCAAACTGGAGCACTAATTTTGGGTTTCATGATTTGTACATGAATGGTGTGCGTATTCATTACAAATAACTAACCAATCTACTTTGGATGCTATTTATCGTTCATAGATCTAATGTTAATTCTTCTGTACAACCTGGAGGTTGGGATGAAAGATAATGACTCCTCCCCATGCCTTGATTCTGGACAGGGAAGATTCGTACCTCTCCCTCTAGTAAGACACTTTGGCACGATGCTCTTACAGGCTTGCAAACTTCTCCTTTTACTACAACGGAGTAACATGACAAACCAACAGCTTGAGGCCAACAACATACAGGCATACTTACTTCATAATATCCGCGGTCAAAGAAGTGGTCCCGGAAGCACTGGATGACGGTGGAGCGCACCTTTAAGATTCTGCTCAAGGTTTCCCCCCGGATCATCATGTGCCGGTTGTTCAGCTGCACATCTACATCTGACTCTTCGTTGACCAGGTTATCAGATCCTCCAGCCGGAGCCAGACCAATGAGTTCCCAGTAGTCACAACTTAGCTCATGGCCTCCTGGAGCCTATGGGAGTGTCAATTTTTTAAAGGCAAAAGATACCACAACTATGGCATTCACTTAGCACAACCTGAAACTCACTGCTGCCAGCAAGTCATATTAGCAATTATTTCATTGAACCAGTGGGGATGGGTGCTGATCTCTCTACCCTGGAATGATCAGCCAACTTGACAGAACATTGAAGTCTGTAAATGTACAATCAATATAACTTTAGAAGGAAAACCTGTAACAGAAAATCAAGCCAGCCCAATGACAACTGAATATGCTCATTGACAAGGGGAGGAAAATGGGAGCCATTCCCAATAGTTAGATCATTAATAGTAAGTTAAATCTGACTTTTACTCAAGGTTACAACAGCCCTCCCCACCAGTGCAGGTTTGAGCTCATATATCAGGCTAAGCTGTAACATGGCTTGGTTTGTTTGGACTTAGTATGTTGCCTGGACCCCGTGATGTTACTTTATAAAACATGGTTTACAACTTATTGCACTGGACAAGACTGACAAATTGTGGCTTATTCAAAAAACACCATTAAGCAAACCATGGCTTAGTGTAATTTGCCAGTGCAGCCATGCTTTGTAACTGAGATAACCCAGCTATATTGCTGGGAATGTTAGCAAGAGTCTGATCTCCACATTATTAAGAGAAGAGTCATTCTGTCAGCAAGAGCAAATTCCAGTGCATTTAAGTTCTACATGGGCAAAATCCCAAGAGTGAATATTTTGCATTCATTAAAATTATCTACTCAAAACGTCAGCAGGCCAGAAAGTCTAAAGTCCTCATCTTCTCACCTGACCTACTGGTTTGCATGTCCCTGTTGTTCAGTGATTGGACGGAGAATAAAGAAGTAAAGAGACAAACACCCTGCCTTCTTGGGGGACAACATTCAAGCAAACACGACAAGGTCCTTTGAAAAGTAAAATGGACTTACCTGCTTGCCTTCAGGAACAAGGCTGAGGGTGCCATATATCGCAACACTGCTCTCAGTTGAAAGGACCACACCATTGTAACATTGACACTGCAGGGAGAAACGAAGGAAAATTCAGCCTGTGTCACCTGAGGTTTAAAAAATAGCAGCTTTGTGCCTTCAAGTCAGTCTTGACTCCTGGCACTTGCCTAGACAAGCCCCTGCAGTTTTCTTGGCGACATTTTCGGAAGTGGATTGCCATTGCTGCCTTCCTAGGGCTGAGAGAGAGGGACTGGCCCAAGGTCACCCAGCTGGCTTCGTGCCTAAGGCGGGACTAGAACTCATGGTCTCCTGGATTTTAGCCTGATGCCTTAACCACTACACTGAACTGGCTCTTAAAAAATAATAATCAAGGGGAAACCACTTTTCTTATTCATTTTTAATGGATTCAATCACACCACTTCATAACAATATTTGTCAGCCACTCTGGTCACCATCCCAAAGTTGACCGTAGTCACCGATTAGGAAGGAAGGAAATAGCAAGCAGAACTTCATATAGGAGTACAGTTGTATACAGTATAGATGACAATTTTTAGGCTGAAGACTGAAGAACACAGAACCAAAATAAAAATGAGAGTTGACTTAATTCAGTCATATCAATTACATTTAATATGATTGTTCCTTATGTGTTTAGGTTCTTTTCTATTCTTTCACATTGAAAACTACAATTTTGTGACAAATTTGGAAGGGTGCTGGATCTATACCCAAAGCCTCTGAGGAAGGGGTTAAATGTTGTCCAGGAAACTGGAATGCAAGGTGATCTGGCATAGGAGAAAAGAAACACTGAATAAAGCTGCAGGCATTAAGCAGCCAACTGGGATATCATGGAATCAATCTTCTGGGAGAAAACAGAAGCTGTGAGAGGATCAAAAGTTGGAAGGGTGGGGCAAATGTCACCAATAAAAGACAGCAAGGTTGCGTGAGGCCAAGGCTATGCAAAAGGATCTAAGATGTTTGACCCACAGTCCTTATCCCACAAAGGCCAACCAATGTTGCCTCCTCAACCATCCTATTTCGTGACATCCTGCCTATAACCATGGAGGTTCTCCACAGCTATGTTAGTGCAGAACTGTAGAGTTCAAGCAAACTGAAGGATGTTGTACATTCAGAAAGCCTTTCCATCTTTCTTTCACCATGTCTTCTCTTGACTTTCAATTGATTTTAGGACTGCTGGAATAAAATTAACAAAGGTATGAAACTCTGACATGCTTCAGAAGGGGCTGAAAAGGGAGCTTACCAGTTCATCTGACAAGACACACTGAAGATAGCCTGTGCCATCTCTTAAGACAATGAACATCAAGTTTTTCCCTAGTATAACAAGAGAAAGAAAATAAATTATGTAATCATTTAATTTCTATATTAGTGAAAAACTGCTTAACTTCCGTCCCATCATTTCAAAACTCATTCTACTAAAAGCCTCCAGAAGTAGATAAATACTTTTGACAGAAGCCGAAAGAAAGTCTGCTGGCACCCGAAGAACCAGTCTAGGGGATTCCAAGCTTTTACGGGTGGCAGACACACTGAGACTTTTGACAGAAGGTTGGTGAGGTAGGTTAAGGTTAGATAGAGACCAGGACATATTACACTGAAGCTCAAATTGGTTAATTGACAGCACTGGAGACAAAGATAGTCCTGAAGAGAGGAGGGGTCACAGTCCCTCTTTATGAATTGATGCCAATTAAGAGTGTACATGTGATTGGATATAGCAGCAAGGTGTATCCAATCACACTGGATATAAACAGCAAGTATTGATGGGATATAGCACATCATGTGCCTAGAGCAGTGTTGTCCAAACTTGGCCACTTTAAGATGAGTGGACTTCAACTCCCAGAATTCCCCAGCCA